CCAACAGCAACAACAACAACAACAGCCAACAATCAGCATAAATGGAAGGAACCTGAAAGAAACAACCTCTTTTACCTACCTACCAGGTAAGCATCGTTTCAACTACAGGTTGGTGGAACTGACGAGGATATCAAAGCAAGAATCGGAAAAGCAAGACGAGCTTTCACTACTCTCAAGTTTGTGTGGAGGTCAACAGCACTCAGCATGAAAATTAAGATCTGGATTTTCAACTCCAATGTGAAGTCAATGCTACTATACAGATCAGAGACTTGGAGCGTCATAAAGAGCAAATCAAACAAACACCAAACCTTCATTAACAGTTGTCTTCGCTCAATACTCAAGATCAGATGGCCAGAAAAGATCACCAATAGAGATCTCTGGGAGCGAACCAACCAGGAACCGATTGTGAAACAAATAGGCAGGAAGAAATGGAGATGGATTGGCTGGCCATACTCTGAGGAAACCATCAAGTGACATCACTAGACAAGCCCTTGAGTGGAACCCGAAAGGGAAGTAGCGAGTTGGTCGTCAGTGTGAGGCTGACTTGGAGGAGGTCATGTGAAAAGGAGATGAAGACGTGTGGGCAGACTTGGAGCCAGGTGTAAACTCTAGCAGAGAACCGAACGCAATGGAGACGCACGGCTGAAGCCCTATATTCCCCTAGGAATTAAAGGTAACAATAATAATACATCAGACGTCACTGGAATCCACTAGAATATGCGTAATCAATGTGTTCAGAAAAAACTAGTATAGCCATTTTCTTTGCCTTGAGATCTTCTTTACATTATTATAACGACTGATAATATCCCCAACTCCCTTTTTCGTCTACAAGTTATTATTACTTTATGTATTGTATTATTTTGTTAACTTCCTCGTTAATTGTTCTTAAGCAGTCGATTTGATCACTCTTCTATTTTATTCAAGATTATATATTGTTAAGCTAATTGTTCAATTTTCACCCATATATATTTCTACCCTTGAATTGCTTCATTAATTTTGTTGGTTAATTGTCACCTCCTTGGTTCAGAGACTTAGTGCTCAAGTCACCTAAATCATTTGTAACAGACTGAAGAATTTCATCAGTTCCTGCCTTCCCAGTTATACTGAACGTCAAATAGTTAGCCAGAATGGATGAGAAACAAGGTACTCTAGCAGCGAACTAGCTGAGAACTTGTTGCCCAGTATGAGGGCAAAAGAAAATTGAGATGAACTAAACAAACCCATTGAGGAGAACTTCAAGCGATATCACATGACAGTACAACAAGTGAAACCCTAATGAGAAATGACGAATTGGATGTCGGAGGGTGAAATGGAGAAGATAGCGTATAAAGGAAATGAATGCTTGTCAGTCAGCTAAAATTGATGACAGAGAACAGGATGAAACGGAGATGTTCTGCTGAAGCCCCACATTTCACTCAGAGCAAAAAAATAATGGTTATTATCACTCCCTTGAGATGTTGATATCGGCTAATTATTGTTAGAAATGTTTTCTTGTTTGCGAGGTGAATTATACAATCAAGCATTCTGTGATCCTGAAAGAGTAGTCTGCAGATAGTGTTCCGATGGATTTGCTAATACTAGGAAATTTAAAGACATTCATATCATTAGAGTTACCCATTGGAGGGCTTGCTGTAAAGAACTAGGAGTAAGTACTTCTGTGTGGCATTTTTCGTATTTGTTAATTACTATTTCAACTCGCTCAGTATTTAATTTGAGAATAACTACTGGTCATTTTTCATTTTATTCCTTTCTAAATGTCATTTGAAACGAATACTTAGGTGATCCATAAAGAAGGTTGAACAAATACTAATAAGTAATAGCACCAAGATAAATATTATAAGAAGACACTTAAAACGAGCTGCTGCCATATAAGTAAAGAGAGTGAATATGTCTACTATTTCGCATTTCATTCTAAATCTACTTCCTGATTACATTAGTGTCAGCTAAGGTGAAACTAGTGCATCCTGATACATTAGGGTAAATGAGGTCTACTCAGACTAAGAATTCTTGTCGAGGTGTGATATAATTATTTATTATTATTTTATTCCTATACTTTCCTAGTGAAACATAGGGCTTCAAGCTACAGGCTTTACCAGTCTTACTACTGGCTTAGCTAGGTGAGATGAAGCAGTGCGTCAGCCGGGGATCGAACCCCGAACCACATTAGACGTGGTTGGCGAGCATTCTACCGCTGTGACACTGACGCACACGGTGTGATATATACCAAAAATTTATCTCATTAGTCTATCAGCTTGTTATATGTCCACAATCTATTGCATTAGTCTGCAGTCAGGTAAAACAAAATCACATGTCACATGGTGACCGCCAACCAATCAAAATTCAGCACACCTACTATTCAACCTTCTGACTGGATCAATATACGCCAAATAATTTTTTGCAGCCTTGATCACTTCTCTCTCTTACTTGTTTGGTAACACACGTTTTCAATCCTACTGTGCGGATCTTCTGGATTTTATTAGTTCGGGTCAGGAAATAATTGACCAGCGTTTATTATCCTAAATTAGCATCCGTATTTACACTCGGAGATATCATAACAAGGCGATACTCGTAATTCCCTTTTGTGTTTTCAACAAAGTTTAGTGTCTGTCGTGACAGTGAACTCCTCACCAATAAACCCTGTAGCTAAGAAAGTGTAACACTACTAAAATTTGGATTATTTTCAATAGGTAATTGGTACTTGGTAGCGGAGCGACAATGAAATTTGTCTTCTGCCATCTTTCACACTTTAAACGGCATAAATCGTAGTCGGAAACTGTATTACTTTTTCATGGAAAAGTTATACTTTAAACGCCAGTAAGTACCTGTGGACAAATGACCTGAAACGCACCAGTGATATGATAAAGGCGATTTTCACGTACAAAATGCATATATTCATGAAAAATAATGAATCAAAAGGCATGGAACTGTTACACTTGGATACCCTTCTCTGAATTCCGGCAAGAATACCTCTCATTTCTGGATTGTAGAGTCGACAGAGTGAGTTAATCGCATTCTCAGCGTTTACTTATCTAGGTTTTCTAACTCTAACAGTAATCATAATCTCTGCTTGACCTAACCCTAAAGTAAAAATACCCCTGAGATAACCCTAATTTAGCCCTTAAGGGCTAACGAATGATTATTGGTTCACCTAACTTTAACCTCTCCTTAGCCAAAACCTTAACCATTCACAAACCTAACCTGAAACCTACCAGATATTGCATTAAACAATAACATAACACTTCAAAATGAATCATTTTTATTCATGATTACAATATTTTTTGCCAGGTTTCAGCAACTTGCTCACTGAACGTTTCAAGGTCATTGGTGCGGACGCATTTCATTGGTACTTACTGGTGCTTAAAGTTTAACTTTGCCTTTTTCATCTAACCAAGTGCGTGATGTGAATTACTTGTAATACAGATGAAATTATTGAATAGTATTTCCGAATTTTTGTTTCTAAAGTATTACAATTACAAGGATCACAGTTCCAGGCATCTGTGTTTGTTTCTGTTTAGCTTGAGATACTAATTCTAATGTGGTTGTGTTCTCTGATCTGGATAGTTAATTTGCGAAGCTTTCGTCGCCCTACTAGGCGACATCTTCAGCGCACACTTCAATTTGTTGAAGTGGGCTTTTAGAGTTCTCCACGAGTTTATTAATCATCTCTCCCGGTGACCTTGGACGTGATTGGTTGTTTTTGTGTGTTTTCACACCTTCTAGGTTACTTGTATTGGAACTGATTGTTCCTTTGACTTGAACTTTGACCCTTTGTGTGTAAGGTTTCTTTCTTATCGGTTGATAAATTTTTTCAATCTCGATGTGTCTATTGATTGATGATTCACTGGAATACTAGGCTTCTAAAAATTCTCTAGCATTCTCTCTGCCTGATATTTGAACGTCCCAGTCGGATTGATGTTCGTGGTTGTCTGTATGTAGTAAAATGAGGGAGTGGATGTCATGTCTTTTGACGGCTAGTTTATGATCACGGATACGAAGACGAAGAGGGCGTCCACTTTGGCAAGTGTAGTATTTTTCGTAGTTGTTACAATTTATTTTGTAGATGATGTTGGTTTTATGTTCTTTCGTTGTTGAGTTTTTTGGTTGACATAGAACTGAATGAAGTGATTTTGTTGGTTTGTGTGCGACATCAATTCCTAAAGGTTTGAAGAGTCTTGCAGTCAAAGTTCAAGTCAAAGAAACAATCAGTTCCAATACAAGTAACCTAGATAGTGTGAAAACACACAAAAACAACCAATCACCTCCAAGATCACAGGGAGAGATGATTAATAAACTCGTGGAGAAATCTAAAAGCTCACTTCACCGAATTGAAGTGTATGCGCTGAAGATGTTGCCTAGTGGGGCGATGAAAGCTTCGGAAACTAACTATCCAGCTCACAGAGCACAACCGCACCAAAATCATCCACCCGAGCTACAAATCTTCTCTATCATATCTATACTAATTCTACCTCAATAACTATGTATATCGCGAAATATACCCATTAGTTTATGAGGAAAAGCCCAGTTTTTGTTCGTCATCACACTGTTCGTTTTTTAGACAACATTTGCCCTACAATTTTAAGATCTTTATACCAGTTCACTTATTTAATAATCTTTAAAAGTTTTGTAATTCATTCACTCCAACTTAACCCCCTTATTACATCATCTTATCATATGTGCAATATTGACTGAGCAATTTCTAGTGCCACTTATTGCCTTTTTCCGTAGTATAAATATGACTGTACAGTTAGCATGAAAATGAAGTCGTTGAAAGGAGGTATTTCTTCACTGAACGAAAACTGTGTTTCTCCTCATGCAAGTATGCGTATCAGGCTAGCTAGCAGATAGTATCTTACAAAAAATTGTTCCTATCACAATGGTTAATCCCAACATCTCTATAAAATGCAAAATAATTGTTTAGATCTGAAATGTGTGCGGGGTAGATAGTATCAGTCAGCAAAATTAAATAACGACACATAGGAGTGGTATGTTTATATTACATAGAAAATAAAAGTGTATGGTTCATACTGTTTAACTAGCGCAACTACAATGCCTTTCAGTCTGAAGACAAAATATACAGACAGCTTCATTGTATTGTATAAATTTTGTATATGTATATCATATCGACACAGGTGAGCGTGAAAGAATATTTCAACTCCTGGATACCTGTTCAAATGAATAGTAGAAAAGAATTATTTTAATATAACCTGAACACATTTGCTTGCATAATAAGAAGACAAATAACTGAGAAATAAAAAGATCAATAATATTTGAACAGATATTTACATTATCGATAATATAGGTGGTTGGAGGCAATCGGCCACAGGAAGTCTTCCAACTAGGTTTCGTGCTAATAGGCACTCACCAGTGAGCAAGGCATATCTGTAGCCTTGAAGGAACTTATAACCTTTCACCCAGTGCTGCGGTTCTGCGCTAAACAAAAGACTAGACTTATTACACTAGTTACTAACTAGTGGCCAATTAAAAGTATCCAATACAATCCTATAAGAGGTCAGTCGCCAGCCTGGATAGTTCAGTGAAAACGTCTCTGACTGCAGCACTGGGTGATGCGGGTTTAAATCTCAGAAGGGACATGAGTTCCTTTAAGGTGGTCGCAGATATGCCTTGCTGACTGGTGAGTGCCAACTAGCAAGAAACTTAGGTCAGGCAATGCTTCCTGCCGATTACCTCTAGCCATCTAATATCTACAATTCATAGTGCACAGTGATAGTGATTCACCTAGAATGCTGGCCACATCGCAAACTTGACTGGCAGAATTCAATTTGCACTAAACAAAGGACTAGACATATTACACTAGTTACTAACTAGTGTCCAATCAAAATAAATTTGCACTGACCAAACTGAACTTAGTCACAATCATATTTACTTGAAAACAATTATATAATGTATTGTGTTAGTGTGGTTGATTCATCATTCATGTATTCTAATGGGGGATTTCTCCTGAGAAACAGATATTCATAAACGTACCATTATGAACTGCAATGTAATGCAAAGGGAATTTAATTTAATTTCTCAAGAGGTTCTTCAAACGAGGCTACATTTATACTGTCTTTTTTCAGGTTTTGAGTTTGTGCAGATTTGATTGATTTATAGGTAGATTCCACCATGAAAAGACATCAATTAGAAAATGACTGAAAACCATGGAATGTTAGACGCATGATTCATCCTATTTCATTAACAATGAGTGTTTATTTTCATCTGTATCATTGTAACAGAAAACCCCACGTGGTCTAAAGTCATGCTCTAATATTGGTTTACATGTTATCAAAATAGAATGGATGGTTCTTTGTGTGACTGGCGTTACATAACAGAAATAAAGATTGATAAAGCCTTATATCGGAATTAGGATGAGAAGATTTATAGAATTCTACATATCTAAATGGTTACATGGCTATCACAGAAACAAGACTTTATTTTCTGAAAAACGCCTATTTATAAAATACACCTGTGGTGAGAGCTGGCTGCTAGCCAAAGTTGGTAGACAGTAATTGACGTCAATGTTTATGTCCCCAATATTGGTGTTGAGAAAATGAGAACAAAGGCTTTGCGTAGGCGGATACAGTTAGCATATGGATGATCTGACACAGCCACAAAGAGATGCAAGGTTAACTTTCCGTAAAAAATAACCAATCAAAAGACTGTATTTTATACTAACAATAATCTGCAATAATGTACATTAAAACCTATAAATATGTGTTGATTTTCCTTAATAAACGATCTGTTGCCTGACCCTTGTCTTCTGTTGTTACACTCCTTTTCATCAGATAACATAGGGACTTCAAGAGTATTCAGAAAAATCTGTATCTTAGATATACTCAAGTTAAATGTCAATTGGTAGAAGTTAGAATTCAAGGGACACTGAATTGGGTCCCAGTGGCTGAATGTTAGATGAGCTTGTCTCGTAACCGGAAGATCCTGGGTTCGAATCCCATCGGGTGCGTACTGCCGATGATTCTCAAACTAGGATGAAATAGCTGTCCAGTGCTCCTTTACTTTCAGTAGTTCTCTATCTGATATCAATCCGTCGTCAAACTCGAAAAATGTCAGTTTAACAAAGGTGTATCACGAAATGAATGACCAGAACACAGAAATGCTAAACTAATAAATAATACCTAGGAATCTTTTCTTAAACGCAATATTGTCATACTATACAAAGACAAGTTACTTTACCAACTCATCTCTGGGTGGTTAAGCTCCTTATCCAGACAGGCTCTAGACCTTAATCAGGAGACAAAAGTTATCTGAAGTTACACTGACTTTGAAAAGATAACACTAGTAAAAACGCCAACCATATATAGACTGGTGTTGGTTTGTAGGGATTTGACTGGTTACAGGATTTTCATCATGAGCTGACATTAGTTAGAGAACCATCAGAAAACCTGGGAGTACTGGACAACTAATTGTCCTAGTTTGGGACTCTTCATCAGTACGCACCCACCGAGATTCGAACCCAGGACCTTCTGATTACAAGGCGAGCTCGAATACCATTAAGCCACTGGGACCAGAAGCTGGTGTCATGGAGATTTCCTGAATGCATACACCAAGCATAATTACATTTTCAAATGAATCTAATTAGCGAAAAGTAAAAATATAGTCAAAATACTTATAATGCCCTTTTATTGAGTTTATATGGAGGAAATAAACACAGCAGTCTGCCAATTATTTGTGTATCACAGTATGAGACCTGCTACAGAAACGAAGGATAATGACTCATGTATTAAATTAGTTTATCTATGTTTGGTGAAAAGGTGAAATCAGCGTTTCATGTTTACCATTAGTTGTAGTCATACATATTGAACGCTTTTCTGAGTATTTCCTATAACCCCATTTTAATTTGTTTATTAGATAAATCACACAGTGAAACAGTATCATTTACTAGATGACGTTTCGAACACAATTTATGATTCATAATCATTTCATCAGTTATAATCACACGACTTCGAAACTTGAGTTTTATAGTTTTTTTTGTTGTCTCCTATTTGTCGTAGGGTTAGTAGAATTTTCCATATGTCTGGGACAAGTGTTGAATCATTCCTATTACATATGTTTGCAGTTGATTCAATAAATAAAGCTTCCGTTATCAATCCCTTCACCCTGTTACGTTAGATTTCAAAACTGTCATCTTATCAAATCCTATTGTATGGTTGTGTGTAATTGCATGTAGTGAGTGCTATAGCTGAACTATTCTCTAGATTTCTTATCTTATTCGGGTCAACTAATCTAGATTTTGTTAGGTTTTTATGCTCGGCTAGTCTGATTGCCCATGTTCTACTATTTTGATCTATATATTTGACCTGAAAATCATTGCAGGCTATTAGATAAACTAAATTGTTATGTTTTACAGGTCCCACAGGATCCTTTAACCGACAAAGCTTGTTTCTAATTGAGTTTGTGGGTGGTTTGAATGCCAGCCACTTTTATTCCTGGCTTGTTAAGAATTCTGCGTAAGGTTTCCTAGGTTCCTTCCTTGTATGGAATTATTACTGATGATTTAGATTCCTTATTGTTGGTGTTGTCTTGTGCATATTTGACATGCACGTCGTTATTAATAGATAATATTATTTTTATTATTATCACTACCACTACTGTGATTGTTTATTTTTATTTTTGCATTTCCCGGCATACTTTCTGACTAACTAATCAGGGTAATTATTAAGTTTCAAAGCTCTTCTTATATGCCTCACTTCCTGTTTTAGATTTTCCTTGGTGATACTTAGTTTTTGTGTCCTTTTACCCAAACATTTCACCAATCCTATTTTTACTGACGTAGGGTGGGATGATTGGAAATCCAAATATCTGTTTGAATATGTGGGTTTCCTGTAAACACTAGTGTTTAACTTCCCATCTTGTTTCATTTATAATCTACAATCTAACATTGGATGCTCCCCTCTTAACTTTTCAATTCATAAGTGAAGTAAATTGCCTCTACGCTCAAGTTGAAGTTTTCGAAAAATCTATTTATGTCCTGTGTTCTAAGTACAGTGAATGTGTCATCTACATACCTCCATGTGTTCGTTTGTTTTTATCTGAATTTCTATTGAACTAAATCTTCCTCTTAGATCACAATAGAAGTTGTGGGATGATAATAGTAATTGACTGTCAAAATCTGAAATTCTTGAGGCAGAATGGAGGATGTGTTAACATTTCTAGATTCTGATATCACTACCACAACATGAAGAATAAAGGTTTATAGAAGCAACGATGTATTTACCAAATAGGTTTCGTTAATTAAAGTAATCAGATAGGCGAAAGTGCGTCGGTGGCATAGCGGTTAGGACGCTCACCGACCATACACATGGTCCGGGGTTCGATCCCCGGCCGACGCACTCCTTTACCTCGCTAAGCCATAAATAATGCTGGTGAAGAGGAAAGGTTGGGCATGACGCTAGCAAACCCATCCTGTAAAAATAAACACTGCTATAGAAACTTCAAGCCACTAGCTTGAAGCCCTATGTTCCACTGGGGAACGTGAAGGAAAAAAAAAGATAGGCGAAATATTTTGTTGAATAAATTCATTTGAATTCTCTGGAAAAAAACTTAAATTCAGAAAGAAGAAGATTATAAAATATAACCACTGAATTGGCAATTGTAACCTGACCATTTAGATATCTAAGGCATTCGGTAAACTCATTTTGTACATTGAAACATTGAAATTGACAGTGCAATGGCAGAGGCCAAAATCCTTGGTAATGGAATGTTCATTTGGAATTTGCTATCTCTATAGCACAGATCTTCCGTGTCGTCCTATTTCTGCCCATCGTATTGTGTTTCTTTGTCTTCTTCTCGTGTCTTCCATGCTTTCCTGCAGCGCTGAATCATTTGCTCTCTTCGACGTCAAATCTGTCTCTCCACTATTTGATATTTTCTCGCCGATGAAGGTCTCTCTATATACTACTGATAAATCTTATCAGTAACAGTCAAATGGTCAGTGAAAAATTAACTGGCAATTAACTATTCAAGTTTATTCGACTAACAGTTGAGATGAACAGAGCACTCATATTCAGTTTTAACGTTGTCTATGTATTAAGCAGGTGATAAAATATTTTAAAACCAGATCACGTACTCTTAATCTAGACAGTAATAAATATGAGCGTTTATGCTTAGCAGTAAATTACACAGAATGATCACTATCTTTCATCAAATCAGAAAAAGAAGTCTGCCAAAAGACTGACTATTTGAATATTGAACTTACTATGTTCTGAGTATTTAAGATATTCGCTAGTCGTATTGCCTCTGGACGTGGTTGAATGGACATAATCAAAGGTGTAACATTTTCAAAAGATCCAAAAGCCTGTGTACTGCTGTTACCCTCATTTTCCTGTAATAAATCTTTATTGCAAAAACAAAAGATGCAACATCATTGAAATGAAGATTGTTTGATAGAATCTTTGTTAATAACAATATTAACTTTATTATGTTTTGCACTCTGACTGATATTATTGTCAATATTATTAATAATATCGTATAAATAACTTGTTCAAATAACCTGATTTCTTCATTTGTGACTGAACCCTAATCTCCTGACTCTTTTTGTACATAATTTAAGCCTAAATCAATCGAAGGATAGTGAAAAAGAGAGTGGAGGTTCGTTTGGAACAGATACGTGATGGGCAGTTGTGTATTTAAGAAAAGAAATTGGCAATGTAAAGAAGTTATTAAGGCATTTGTTTTTTCTAATAATGAGGGTAACTGCAAATTAATATATGGCCAATTATATGACCGTTTCACTTACTTACAACATCAACCAATAAGCGAAATTGATTATTCATAAAGTAATCAATACAACACAGAGGTAATTACAGGTAGAGACTAAGTAGAAATGGGGTTGCTATCCTGACCTAAGTTGAAACATTTTAGTCAATTATATTACGTCATCTAACTTACTAACTCAATCTTACTTTAGTTGCTGTTTGATTAACCTTGTTTCCATATTAGATCATTCTTGTATTACCTGATCAATTATCTAAACTTGACAAACCTCATGTACACACACACACAAATAATTATATATAAATGTGATTGTACAGCATTGTGGATGAATTCGCCGAAAAGAGTCTCTTCGCTGAACGTATTCTCTTTTTCAGATGACTCAATAAGTGCTAAAAGAACCTGTATTTGAAATAAATACTTTCTGAAACGCAAAGATATTTAACGGGTTGCTTACCGTCTTCATTTCCTACGATCGGATCTTCCTTTGGTTCCCTAGTTTAAAAAGGAATTTTTTGTATTTTAAGTTGTTTTACCTACTTCTTTTTGTTGTCTTCATGAGACTTTTCATTCGAAGTGACATCTATTCCTAACTGTAACAGAAATCGTTTTAACCGAACTTACGTTGATCACTTGGCAAAAGACTTTGAGTCGCAGACAGGGGGACAATGGAATCACTTACATCATGAACTGCATCTTTCAGAGACTCTTCTAAATTTGTTTCCGAAACAGGAGAAAGTCGACCTAATTTGGAGGAATAAGTGCTCACAGTTATAACGAATTACCTGGTAATTTCGCATCCACCACCGATTGACTGCTTGAAAAGATAAAATTAGAAACAATTTAGGAGTAAATTTGGTAAGGGATAAAAAAATATGATCACATCAGTCGTCGTCAGCTGTGAAATTTTAAGATCAAAAAGTTTGCTTTTTGCATTATACTACTAGTGAGTAGCGTATGAGTATTTATAGAATTTTCAGAGAGTGTTGTTTCCCTAAAACCTTCGAGTCTATTTGACAAATAATAGCAAAATTAATGAAAATAATAACAATTGTATCAGTAATTTTTCTGCTTCTTTTTTGTTGATCAACCTTGGCGGTTACTGCCTTTGACCTGAAGAACTGAAGCTGGTTTTTAAACCCATGAAATTTTCAGCGTATATTCCATTTTATGTTGAGTGGAAAGAATTGAGCTGTTAGCAACAATAAGATACAATAAATGAAGACTTAAACCTTTAGAAAACTGTGGTTAGAGTTTGTTAATAATAACAGGGGGAGACTTTAAAGATGAATACCTCGAGTCTACCATATACATTTGAAGAGAACGTTTGACTAATTATCCTCACAGTTTGCCAAGTTTTACTACGAGATATTCTGGAATGGGGCAGCAAATATCGACAAATTATCCGGATACCTAGCCTCACAAGAGTAAATTAGCTACTAAACTCACATTAAATCAGTCACTCATATTTGCTTAAACTTCATATCGAAGCCTGCTAAAGACTGACTGTAATATATTACTTTAAGGTTTGATGCTTTCTTCAATATCATTGACAACACCCTCCAAAAATTACACATTAAAAGGTATCATTTTCCTCAAGATATCGCCTACAGCTCTGTTGTTTCGTATTCTTCTCAATGAACATTAATGAAGGCCTTTTAAAAAAACACTGTGAAGCTAGGTGAAATGGAAGCCCTATGACTCTAATTATTAAATCTGACACCAGTACCAGAAGATTTTATGTTCAAAAAATGCGTTATTTCAAAAGTTACGGTTACTTAGGGTTCTTTTTATGTCACAAGTTATTCTGGGGTCTTTGAAAATTCTTAAAACATTATGTTTCCTAACAGTTTCTAACAAATGCCGTCTGTTGTCACTAATCCTAAGATATTTGACACAATGAACGTTACTCGCCATAGGCCAGAATCAACCGGAAAACAATGGGATGAGTGGTAGTATCTCTGTGACTCTTATCAAGTTTATATTCACAAAATAATACTAGAAACTGAAAGCCTATTTCTTATTCATGAGTAATATCACACTTGACAGGCCTTAACTAACATCTGAGATTCCAAGTTCATACTAGTATTTTGGTTGACTGGTGACTATTCAAGGGTTGGTTCTGGACTTTAGTTATGTATCTACATATTCAACATGTTCACAAACCTCACATATTATATTGTGTCTATTCAAAAAGTATACACCTTAAACAAATTTAAACAAATAATAGTATTAAAACAGTTGGTAGGCAAAATTACCTCGGTGGTTGATTCTGAGTAGAGGAGATTTCACTTGTTATAAACTCTGAAGATTGTGAAATGTCAGTTTGGATTTGTGAATCCATTTTCTCGATTAATTCTTTCTGAAATCGCAATAGTTATGATTTTTATCAGAAGTAAATCATAAGGAAGCTTGTTAGAAATTTGTGTAATGTTAACTATTCTTACTTTTGCTGTGTAATCTGTCTACACACACAAAAGATAATACTAAACTAATTCAGACTACTTTACTTATTCTTCCAAGAAAACAAGTTATTCTTAATCTTATATATAATTAGTTACAGGATTTCATCATGAGCTGACATCGGCTAGAAAACCATTGGAAAACCTGGGAGTACTGCCAGACATCTGTTTTGTTCTAGTTTGGGACTCTTCAGCACTGCGCACCCACCGCCAGGGTTCGAATCCAGGACATCCCAGGTATAAGGCGAGCTCGTAGACCACTAAGCCACTGGGATCCAATCCAATGGCCAGCACATGAATTCCAACTTCTGCCAATTCACGACATAGTGCGACCACTAACCGATGTCATCTGTGGAGAGTATTTGTCCTCACGCCCAACCTGCGCCATAGGATCGGGTCCCTGTGGCTTAGTGGTCTACGAGCTCGTTGGCCTCGTAACCAGAAGGTCCCAGGTTAGAACACCTGTGGTGGGTGCTTACTGATGAAGGGCTCCAAACTTGGATGAAACAGGTGTGTAGAACTCTATGGTGGTTTTCCAATGGTTTTTTAACCGATGTCGTGATGACATCCTGTAACTAATCAATCAAATCCTTACAAACCAATACTTGAATATTATATGTAATTGATAGGAATGCCTTAATGTTCGTTTTGTACAATCTGAAGGGAGTTATGTATAATGTTCTCAATCACACCACACAGTGCTCACGCTTAATCTTTACCTAAGAGGTGCTGACACCTTATACTCTGCATATACATATGAGGCGTATAAGTTATAGTGATAACATTCATTTATTTCCGGTTATTAAACATATCATGAACAGGTTAAGTATGCTGAGGACAGATAGAGGAAGTTAAAATAAATAAAATCTCCTCCATTCTATAGCACAAATTTACAGAGCATTTTATGAATGCCTAATATTAAGGTATTCAATAAAACTTGTCCATAAGACTGGAATATTGTATACAAATATCCTACAGAGCTTAGCTTTATATCTTCCATGTTAAGTGGTACAATATGGTGGGCACTACTGAAGTAAGTCATCGAGTGTTAGGTACTGGGGTAAGTCATTCGATGACCTTGTGATGCTACATAGACTGAGACGGCTGGGGCACGTGTTGACCACCCTGAGCCACTGCTTGTCCCGACATGCAATGTTAGCTGACATGGGATTAAGTTGGCCAAACCAAAACCTGGCATCAACCTATGAAGTCTTTGGCTGGTGGTTTAAGTCACATAGGGCAGTGTAAGTTGCCTAATTTGGGTCCTAAGGATTCCAGGAACCAGTGGCTGGAGAATATTGGAGCTATGGCTCAAAATCGTTTTCAGTCACGCGTATGTATTTATTTCTTGTGATTTCCCATATCCATTAAACCTTTTTACTTCTGAATCCCTAAATGGAGTATGACAACCTGGACTGCTGCTTTTCTGCGTTAAGTTATACGTTGTAACTCAGTTAGTCAATCATACAAGTACCGAATTCCTCACCAACACATAAAAACACACGTATACAGTCATTTTTTCGATGCTGAATGATAATGTTTAGTAACATGTTGTGCCTAGAGAGAGACTTTGCAATTGCTTTTATCCGTTACCTAGGCCAACTTCATCAAACAGGCATCTTCCATGATGAAAATGAAGGTGGAATGGAAACTTGTACCAAGTTTGTTTGAGAAGGTCATTCAGTATTTATCACTCAAAGTACACAATGTGACTCACAAACGTGGTAAGAAATATCATCAGAAGTAGTGTCAGTAACATACAATGCACTGAAAGACTGTAGATATAATGGAGAAGACGTGTAGCTCAGGTGCAGCTTATCCACCCTTGGCGGAACACGCTTCTTTCTGTTCGAAAGTGGGAAGAATTCGCCAAAAGGCAAGGATCCACCAGAGAACAATTATTCTTTCTCCATGAGTGCCTTCGTCACTGAAGGACTGTATAGTCTGTAAATTACACATTCGTAACACCGATGCCGAACAAAACTAATGGATATCTGTTCTTTTTCAACACCCTAACACATTAGATATTCCCTAAACATGTTTTGTACAAATACAAACAGCTTGCTGACTAACTAAATACACAGATTTGTTTTACCTTCTTCAAGACGACTGGAAAATATTTCTCGAGAAGTTTGCTGAACTATCGAACACTTTGTGAACTTATTCATAATAAATGAGTTGAGTGATTTCGTCTCGACAACAGAATAATTGGAAAAAAACTCACCTGGTGAAAAACTACTTGCGGCTTTTCTTGTCGGTAGAGTGATTGCTTAGAATCTTTAGTCGACGGTTTCGGTAGCCATTTAACCATTGCAGTTGCTTGCAAGAAATATGCATATATAAATATGAAGAACCAGCAGACGAATAAAACTCCAAGAAAACAGCTGGTAACTATTCCAATGACCCATATAAAATCATCTACCTTTTCATAGGCATCTGTATCGTAAACTAAAATCCAAATAAGGCAGAATTTAGGGAAGGTGATATTTTAATAAAATATTATTTCGGTATTGCAATACATCCTTACCTGTCTCAGATACAATCTATGGTGATACTTAGTTCTTATTTCAGTACTTAAAGAGTGGATTTTAATCTACTTTCAGAGGAATAGTCACTGATCAGTTCCTTTTGAGGTGTGTGCGAATAATACAGGTAAGGATTACAGTGATTCACATTTACCAGCGAACAGTTTTAACTAATAAGAGTTATACCAGTGAAATAACTTTTTACCTACAGGTTTTGGTTAGTCCCCAAATTACAGGAAGTTTCAAATTTAAAGCTTATTGACTGTATTTTTGCTGCCAACTAAGATTAAAAATGAAAATGTGGTGTTGACTTCAAAAATCTCCTCTTTGTTGGGACAAGATACGAAGAAGAATGTATTCCTTTGAGAATTAGATTCTTCATTCAGTACGTAATTCTAACCTTATACTTCTTGATTTCTCAGGTTTTAAGGTTTTTTCTACACTATTTACAGCAACTTATTGCTTTCCATCTATTTAAATGAATCAGTCAAACAAACCTCATTTTACTTGGCCTTTAGATATCAGTCAGTTTCACTATAACAACCGAATATGTTTTTCCTTTTATATGTATGTGATACAGTTTTAGTTTGGACAGAGGATACGCACAAAAACTATTGAAGCAAATGCGACTCTCATTAATTCTATTTGCTTGTATTTAAAACAAGAACTCTTATGTTGGCTGGGAATTCCAGAAAGAATATTACCAAACCAGAGGGTATATATCAGCTTCCAACTCAGATGACACTATTGACTAGTATTAGATAGAGGCAATCAGCAGGAAGCCTTGGACCTTGGTTTCGTGCTAGTTGGCACTCGTCAGCAAGGTGTATCTGCAGCCTTGAAGCAACTCATATCCCTTCTGAGATTCGAACCCGCGTCACCCAGTGCTGCAGTCAGAGACATTACCACTGAGCTGTTCGGGCTCGCGATTGACCTGTAGGACTGTAGTGGGTATTTTGATTGGACACTAGTAACTAGTGTGACGTGTCTAGTCCTTTCTTTGGTGCAAACTGAATTCTATCAGTCAGGTTTGTAATGTGGCCACCATTCTAGGTAGCTCGCCATCACGGACTAGACACGTCACACTAGTTACTAGTGTCCAATCAAAATACTGTTGACTAGTGTGAATTAAACTGTTCCGATTCCAGCTATCTCTCTATCAACCGAGTGAATTTGGGGGAAGAATTTGTAATAACGGCTAATTCTGTCCTTCCTTTGAGTTGATTATGAAAATAATATGGACATCGGAATCTAGGCCTCATGAATTTGGTTACTATAATGTTACCATTCAGTGTATCAGCAGACTGTTTCAGGTTCATAACATAAAAACAAATCCTCACAGGATACCACAAAAATTTAAATAAAATATCAATCAATTTACCCTTTGGTCTTTCTACTATTGGCATTCCCAAGCTTACTGCTAGCCAGTCTTCCGGCAATCGATTCAATTCACGAACAATTACGGGTGAAGGTTGAAAAACATTATTTCTCCACACATAGAAGAAGAGTTTCAGGTATGAGTTGTAAATGTCGAAATCAAGTCGGTCAACCTTTAAGAAGATGTATTTAGATAATGAGGAAAAAATAATTTGATAAAAGGTATGAAGTAAAAACGTAATGGGTTATTACTTGATTATCTGCTTATATCCGGAAAACGTCTCAGAATATAGTACACAAAAAAACTGGTGGTTTTATTAGAACTATATTCATTCAATTATACAGACGGTGTGAAGCAGTGGAATAATATTTGCTACATTTTTGGAAATAGCAAATATATCGAACAAAATTATTATATAAACGATTTATTTTGGAAGTTACTACGTCAGAAAAGCGATCGATGGAAAACCGTTCCACCTTAAAGAATGCTCGGAAAAGGCCCAATCAGCTACGCACCTAATAGAATCCAAGGAGTATTGTCAGTTAACTCGCTCAATTTTGTGAATGTTCTAAGGGGAATGCTAATCCTGTGGAGAATAAACTCACACCAGTCAGAATTTTTATGAACTAATCAGGAATAAGCCTTATCAGGTCCATGTTATCCAAGTTTAAAAATGAGAATTACCACCTAAATTCATGCGTAAGGCACCAGCCTCGTGCTCCATTGAAGTTACTCCATGTGAAATCACCAGGAAATGCATCTGAGAATAAATGAACTGTGATAACTTGACTACATTCTGGGATTCGTTTTTGCACTAATATTAACATATAACCTGTACTCCTGGAGCTCTAATATTCGGTTCTGAACATTTCTTCACCGTGTTAGGTGAATCCAACAACGCTCACTCTATGAAGAACTAAATAAGGCAAAGTGAATTTTGAAACTAATTTTTTATTTTTGATTATAGCTTGATTCCTGACCGTATTTTTGGTACAATTGTGGAATTCTCAGTATGTGATATCGGTAGCCCAATTTTGCAGGCCGACCACTGATATCAGGTGTGCGTTGGCAGGGGATCGAACCCCGGACCATGTGCATAGTCGGCGAGAGTCCTAACCACTGTGCCACCATCGTGAAAACACCTCCTTAAATGTTTATACTGTTCGACCTTTTGCCTCGTTCCTCTTCCTATAGGAATAAAAGGGAGGTAGTCTCAGCTTTGGGTTGTCTACGCAATTAATAGACGATGAATTATTTAAAATCGTCATTTATGTCCTTAGTTTGTTCCAAAATACTCAACAGCTAGGATTATGGACTCATAAACCAGTCAATAAAGTCATGTAAAATCATCTTGGATACTTTTGGTTATGAAAAACCAGGTGTACACAGTTTCATAGTTTCTTTAATTTGTGGAGAAACTTACCACAACAGAACAGTTATCTGTTACGGATAAATTTGAAGACTTAGATTTTAGTGCGATATCGTAATTAAGGACGTCTAGAAGCTTGGATTCCCACAATGATGCATTTTTTATGACTTGTTCATTTCTATTCGACTTTGCGTTCAATACTAAGAAAATAAACAACTAGGTATGTGCCTACCTATAGCAATCCAGAAGACTGAGAGACGAGAATCAGTACCCATGAAACAGTATGGAAGTTCGAATAAATAGAGATATAAGACTAAAAGCTTCAAGTTCATATTACCACCTACTCTAAGTAGACATTTTGGCTGATATAAACAAAATTGTCAACACAAGTTTAAAAATAGTTTATTCTGTAATCAATTAGATTGTAGCACAAAGAATCTCTTTCTTCTAATTCTACAGACTCCCTGAACCCAAATAGACGAGGTAATTTTGTCTATTTCGAATGGGATATATAGCTTGTACTGGATCAGTGCCGTCACCTGACCTTAGGAATTCTGTCTCCCCATATAACCCTCCAGGTAGGTCGAGAAACACTCTAGGGGAAGCAAAACGGATAAAGGGCAACTTGGAATGGGAAGTGTAGGTATGCAAAACCAGTTCGGCTTGCACTCTAAGTGGTGGGATATTTACTTATTAGCTTAATTTTAATATTTGATGGGCAACCCAGTAATTGGTTGTCTCTGTAGGGGTTTTAAAGCGCGGTGACCGATTTTATTTATTTACTGCATTAAAGTAGAAGTTCTTTGGAATGTTTCCTGACATACAGTTAACCTAGTTTTGGAAGATTATAATTTTAAAATAGCTGTGAATTTTCAAACGTCGCACTGATCAACTATTTCAGTGGCAAGAGTCGCTTTAATGCAAATAAGCTGTGATAATGATTCACTGCTTTGTTTCAGGTTACTGATAGTGCAAGAGATTTAGAATTTTGGATGCTACAGTTAACTGTATTACAATTTCCAACATTTTAAGATGTGTTTTAACGTGTACACATTCTCCAACGTCGTTTTGTTCTTTACTGTAGTGCTGTCAACACGCACACCCTTCGAGTTTGTAAAAAGCCATATTCAGACTTCCTGATCGCGAGTATAAGGCCTGAAGCCTATGTTTGATAATTTCTTGATCTTTTTCCCTGGTTAATTTTGACCTCTTATTTCGATCAGATACACTGCCCACCAGAGCACTTTTCTAGTTATCTACTTCCTCTTATTTTTCATTTTGTCATCAGTTCTGACAGGTTAGGTAGAGTACTGATTTTTTGGGTAGGTAGGTAAATTGCGTTTAGTAATGTCTGGTAAAGTGTAACCTGTAAACAGCACTACAAGTGCCTTACAAGATTTTGTACCTAGTGGTAGCAGAGGTCTGGTGGCTGTTGAGACTTTTTGAGCCCACCCGTATTCAATGATATTTTTCGATGGCCGAAGTAACAAGAAATTACATGAGTAGATGAACTCAATTTAGTGCAGCTACCAGGTTTGTCTTCCTCCAAGTCCCAAACATCCGCAGTAAACCGGCATATTTTTCAAATCGCTGAGCTACCGATTTTCCCAGGATGTGTCCTATTTTTCCTTATTTTATGTTCTTTGATTGATCAGTTACGCCCTTCGATTACACTGTGTACTTGCACATTTCGCGAACACCTTTGAATGCAGTACTTTACGATTCATGAATACAAATGTCGTCGACGAATGGGATTTTAACAGCACTATGTGAGACTTGCACCTTTAGATACCAAAGAAACATGAGTCTTCTCTGTAGGGAATAGTTTTTCTGATATGGATTTCGTGGGGAGAAAACATGTCACAGCACTTAGAGTAGTTTCACTTGCACAGAAGGCTAGAAAATATTTTTGTGTAATTAAGCACTAGAAAGTGAGAGTAAACCGATGTATGGATCTTAGAAAAAGTTGTGTTGGCTTCGCAAGGGTAAAATATCACCTAACACGAACCTCCCGCCTATAACAGTTACTTTGTTAGGGTCTACATGCCCCAAAGGACTTCTTACAAACCGTAGCACCATTTAGCAGGTGACTGGTGACTGAAAAATAGAGAAGGACAAGACAGTTAACATAACTGGGAATATACTACTGTTACATCCCATAATATACTGCCAGTTATTGACATCATACTCCAAACCCCACTTTTAATTTTTAAGTAGATTAGAAAAATTTGGATTTTTCCCTTGATTGCTGTAAATGATATTTGTTTGTGTTCTCACTTTTAATACCTGCCGGTCATTTTGTTTCTCCATTACATCCTTCGTGTTTTGACGTTGGGCAACCTCAAAATTAGAGGTTCATAATATAATCAATGGATGTGTTTCTTGAATACAAAAATTTCGCATGGTATTCTGCGTTTTATCTTTAACAATTGACCCTTCGAAAGAATATGGACTTTTGGCTTGTTTAGTCGTAACGCCTACTTATTTGGTTACTCTATCCTATCCACCTAATGAGTTTCACCTAGTGATTAACGCCATGTCGTGAGTTCAACTTGGTTTTCACATTTCATTCTCTCAACAGCGTGCTTACGGAACACATATGAACTATCTATTAGTGTTTTCTCAGTTCATGCGCTCTGTTGGCCAGTTGCGTTGCGATTATTTTGTCACAAGAATTGGTTATTAAACTATAAACCCTTCATACCGTGCAGGACAGCTCCTACTGTTGTCACAAAGATTGGTTTTCATGGATCTGTTTGGGTGGGACAAGGGTCGGAAGGAAAGAAGTGGAGTTGCCATATACTTTCACAAGCAGCCAAGAAGCATACAAGCAACGGGCCCACCACTCACTGACCATACGGCGTACTTAGAACTCCAAAACCAACGGAAATGTCAAGAGCGACAGAAAAACATTTCAGGCGAATTTTACGAGGCATCTCGTTGCGAAACCCAAGAGTTTATGACGACTTATGTTGGAGGGTGAACCTTACGACCAGGTGATATGCTGCCTAGGGGGTCTAAACAGTCAGCACCCCACTCGCATTTACAAGGTCAAAACTGCATTCCACCTTTGACAAAAAATAGCACTGTAGACATTACCACTATAAGCCAGAGGGGTCACATCGCCAAGCCGCCAAGCAAAACCTAAAAGGTTCATCCCGTATTCATTTGAAATGTTTCTAGTGAAACTAAAAAATCTCAACTCTGGAAAATCTTTAAGTTGCGGTGATATTCATCTGTCAGTTCTGAAAAAATGCAGTCCCTTATGTGAGCTACGCCAACTTTCCATCGATTCAGCGAAACCGCCAGAGGAGTATAAGAGAACCGTGGGCGAAACGCAATGACCTACAGACCACTAGCACTGCTTCCAGTGGTGTCGAAAGTATAGGAAAGGCTGACTGACGGCCTTATCAGGCAACATCTTGAAAGAAACCAAACACTCTATGAAGTACAGTATAGTTTCAGGAGGGGTAGGTACTGTGCAGCAAAACTACCATTAACGAGGTGTAACTGGGAGACGTATGTTTTATTGGGTTTAGCACTCCTTGATTTCGCAGAGGTATTTGACACAATCCTGCAGATTCTCCTACACAAAATAGGCAAGGTTGGCACTGATGGTCCGTCTCTCTAGTGGTTTCAGGAATACTTAGACTAAAAGGAGTAAAGTAGCAAAGTCAGTTGTATCCTATCATTCTGACTTGGCTCGACCTCGAGCGTCTTCCAGGGTTCATTCTCAGGGCACTTGATGCTTTTATTCCTTATCAGTGATCTTCCAAGCAGTCTGAACTTCTCGCCTCTGTTTTACGATTGTTTCATAAGGATTTCGAGACCAATATCAAACATTCCAAAGGCTCAGACAGGTTGTAGATAACCCCAGAGACTCTGGAAGACTGGGCACAGGTCAGTTTCACACCCTTCAAACTTAGAAAGGCGTAAAGTGATGCAACTACGTTCCCCATTATGGAAAGAGTATATGTCAATCCCTATGTTACGAAAACCTATCGATATACTCTCGATATGCTTCTCGCTCCTGCGTAAAACTGAATAAATTGTTAACTACCCGTGTGGTGTGGCGACAGCATATGAGTTTATACATCACATGCGTGGGTAGCTAGACACATTCACTCCTGAGTTTTTCAATGACCGTACATTCAAAAGCACAAAATCACTGCTCCCGCGTCATATAAAAGAGGCTGTGATATTTTGAAAAGTGTCCAAAAAAGGGTTACGAAAGGGTTTATGGGCATATGGAATATATCCTATGATGAAATATTGGGAGAATTAGGTCCCTTTACACCTAAGTACCTTCTGCTTAGGCATGACCTAACCACTGTTTCCAAGATTATGAATGACAGCAATCACTCAGTAAAGGTATTCTACAATTAAATACTTCCTCGAAGTCACTCATGTTGGATCGAACGTCGGAGTAAAATAATTCGAGTGCTCCCCCATTTCTTTTTGCCTTGAGTTTGCCGACCCTGGAACTCTTTGTCAGGGCTTGTGGCTACTACCCCTTAGGTGGAAAGCCTTGAGTGGGGACTGGATAATCACGCCGTAACACTGTGTCCAAACACATTATCTTCTTGAGACTCACCTGCCACACTCTATCAATCGTTATCATCTGAACTCACAGTCTATCACTTTATGATCTCACACTTTTGGTTTCACTGCTTATTTATTCAACTGCCTTTCACTATCATATTTCCTTGCATATATATTTGTCCGTTCTTTTTCTCTTTTAAGTCTACATAATCTCGGCTAAATATGTCGTTATTATCTCTGTCATTACTACTGCCTTCCATTTTAAGGACTATGATGTGAAAGGACTAACTTTATTCACAGCAGCATAGTCTTAACACACCGTTTATTCAGGACCACATAGCACGAGTCTCTCACCTCAATCCCTTCGGGGATAGACAAAGCCACAATGGATGAATTGTGGGGTGAAGTACGTAGAATTTTACCGGAGACTAGGAACTTTAACTTGCAGCCAAGGAGAGATCCAATGGAGAAAAATTTAAATTATTATTGATCCCCTGGGTTCCGAGTGGAATATGGGGCTTCAACAACACATTTCCACTTTGTTCTGTTTTCTACCATCCTCTTCAGCTGGGTCCACGATTGCTCGCAATCTCTCATCTCCTCCTCGCCACACGATCTCCTCCATGCCACCCTCGCACCTACGACCCAATCGTCACTTCCCATTGGGATTCCACTCGGGCGACGACATGCATTGCGCACAATGTAATTCGGTGGCCTCCTCAATGTATGCCCGATCCACCTCCATTTTCTCCTACATATATTTTTTGGAGCAATTCGTTCTTGCTAGGTTAGTGTGTTCTCAGCCGGA